AGGAGACTTGAATTGCTCCAGCAGTGAAAGTGAATGATTCTATAGACTCATCCACCGGTGGATTCCTTCTGCTGGAGTCTAAGCCCATTCTTGGCGGTTTTCTGCCCTGTACAAGTGGGGACTTTGCTGACTCTAACCTGAGCTACTCCTTACGGGATGTGGTCCTGGTGGTCAGAGAGAAGGTGGTTCACTTTCAATCTTTGAGACCCATGATCTCTAGACAGACCAAGGCTCCCAGTAGGTGTCTTATACCAGCATGAGGCCTGTGGACTGACTGTAAGAGCTGGAGGGACCTCAGGTTTCTTCTGACCCAAGGCCTTTCCCTTGCAGATGAGGAGGCTGTGAAACAGAGAAATGATGCAACTTGACAATGAGAGTTCAGGTGTGAAGTCCTGCATTTGGTTTCCAAAACTGAATTGTATAAGCTCATGATTGGGAATTCCTAGTTTAGCAGTAGTCCTTATTTAAAAGTTTTGGGGTTAGTTGACAAAATCTTTGTGTGAGTTGGCACTAACATATGGTTGTTATGACAAATGAATATGCTATATTTAAAGATATTCATTATATTTATAAAATAAAATGAATATGTGTTCATACTACAAATTTGAAAACTATTAAAAAGCATAAAGACAAAAGTCAGAAATCACCCATAAAATCCAATACGACTACCTAAAGGCAATAATTGTAAATATTTTGTGTGTATGTATATTTCAAAAATATTATATAAAGCTATCATATTGCATCTACAATTCTGCATCAGACTTCTTAAAATTAAACTTTATATTTTGAGATAATTGTAGATTCACATGCAGCTGTAAGAAATAACACAGAGATTCCCATGTACACTTTACCAAGTTTCCCACAATGTTAACATCTTGCAAAATGATACAATCATTTGTACAATATTACAATCAGAATATTGACACTTATAATCTACCAATATATTTAAATTTCCCTGTTTTACTTTTACACACTTGTGTGTGTGTTTAGTTCTCTACAATTTTATCACATGTTGTAGGTTCGCCCATCCACACCACAGTCAAGTTGCTAAACAGTTCTATTACCGCAAAGAGCCCTCTCTTTGCCCTTTTATAATCACACTCTCTTCCTCTCATAGGCCCCCACCTATTCTTTTTTTTGTAATATATTTTATTGATTTATTACAGAGAGAAAGGGAGAGAGAGAGCTAGAAACATCGATGAGAGAGAAACATCGATCAGCTGCCTCCTGCACATCTCCTACTGGGGATGTGCCCGCAACCCAGGTACATGCCCTTGACCGGAATCGAACCCGGGACCTTTCAGTCTGCAGGCCGACGCTCTATCCACTGAGCCAAACCGGTTTCGGCCCCACCTATTCTTATCCTTGATCCCTGATCATCACTAATCTGGTCTCCACTTTATCTGAATTTTATCATTTCAAAATGTAATATAAATGGAATCACACCTTTTGTTCTGTATGTAACCTTTGGGATTGGCTTTTTTTTTTCACTCAGCATAATTTTCTTGAGATTTATGTGTATGTCTCACTAATTCATTTCTCCTTATTGCTGGGTAGTACTTCATGGTATGGATGGACCAGTTTGTTTGGCCAGAGGAGGTGAGGTAAGATGGCCATGCTCTGGGTCACAGTATTGCCTGTTGGCCCTGTTTATTTCAGTTTCTACCAAAATGACTTGAAGGACATTTGAGTGGTTTCCAGCTTTTTACTATTAGGAATTAAGCTGCTTTGGACATTTGTGCACAACTTTTTATGTGAAGATAAGTTTTCATTTATCTGGGATAAGTGCCCAAGAGTATAATTACTGAGTCACATAGTAATCACATGTTTAATTTATAAGAAACTGCCAGATATTTTTTTTCCTGGAGTGTTAATCTTACATTTTTAACCCACAGTGTGACTATTTCTCTAAGTAGTTAAATAGTTTTTGAAAAAACATGATTTTAAACCACTACATAAGATCGCATGGGATGGATGTAGCATAATTTATTCAAACTTTTCCCTAATGTTGAACATTTTGGGTGGTTTTTTTTTTTCAGATTTCTTTTCCCCGTAGACACTTTAGGGCTCCTCAGGGAAATCTAACTCACAACATTCCTCTAGGGGGAGGTTTGGTGTTTGCTACCTATTGGGACCTCCCCAGTTCATTTTTGATGACCTGACATTCCAGTCAAAGTAGAATATGGTTGATCCTTCCAGTTGTCAGAAGCAACTCTGCTTTCCTGCCCTGGCGGACAAGGAAGGGTGTCTGGGTGGAGAGAAGTAAAGCAGCAGAGAGGGAGGAACAAGTCTGTACCTCACCTTGCTGTGGCTTGCTTGATGCTATCTTTTCTGGTTTCTCTAATGCAGATCAGAGCCCCCTTGGAGCTAAATTTCCATGTAGTTGGTTTGGAGGGTCTGGGCAGAGTGATAGCAATGATTCTGAGTTGTGCTTTGACAAATACAGAAAGCTATACCATTAGAGGGGAGGAGAAGGGAACAAGCATTGAGTTTTACTGGTGGGCTATTCACCGTGCTAAGCATTTTACATGATCTTATTGAATTTTCATTACTATTCTGCAAGGTAGATATCTACACTATTTTATAGATGAGGAAAGTAAGAGTCAAAGATTGGCTATTTCCCTGGTTACAAATATATACTTTGTAAAAATTTCAAGCAAATAAAAAAAGGAAGTGATAGTTCCTTATAATCTCACCTTTTAGAGAAAAAAAGGGTTACTGTATAATCTTCCTTAACTTTAAAAATGTACAAACACATACACACACACACTATGTGTTTTATTTTTTACAAGAAACTGGAACCATATTATATATACTGGCCTGAAACTTGCCTTTTTTTCTCCTAACAGTGTATCCTGGTTATCTTGTTTTGTAATTGATTAGTCTTATTCATGAAAGCAGGGCTTTTGGGGGAGTTAGAACTCTCTAATGACACACTTGGTTGTGTGACTTCATACAAGTCACTTTACCTCTTGGGACTCCAGATTCCCCCATTTGCAAAATGGGAGCAGGGCACAGAGGATTCCGTGATATAATGCCAATGAGCAGGGCACCTCAGGCCCCTGCCCTCCTCGTGACTGTCTGGGACCTTCTCTAATGTCCAGCCCTTAGACTTGGATGGCAGCAGCCACTTTCAGTAACTCAGATGACACAGCCGCCGCCAGCGGTGCCAGGCAACTCAGCAGAGCACTGCCTACTCCAGCTGCTCCTCGGGGAGGGTGGTGAGGAGGGACAGCTGGGCGGGGC